GAAGGACTTATCTGGAGTACATGCGGACTTCAATGAACATGACATGCCTTTTGGACTGGATGCCTGATCTATGTAAACCGCCCGACTCTCAGAAATTCATCACAATTTTTTGCCTCAAAATCGAGAAACCTTGCCAGGACTCTGTCGGTGCCGATGGCTGTGAGGATCCTCTTTTCGATCGGTGGTGCCCTTTGTCGGTTTTCACGAGCTGACCTCTCTTATTTCTCTACTCACCATTGCCTTATAGTGCTCTTTGCGAGTTTTCACTAACAAGACTCTCTCATTTTGATTTCTTTGCTTACTGTCGCCTCACGGTACCCGTGTAGGTTTTCACCAATAAGACTTTCTCATTTTATTTCTTTGCTTAATGTCGCCTCACGGTGCCCATGTGAGTTTCACCAATAATACTCTCTTATTTTATTTCTCTCATTTGATTGCATCGGACCCAAGTAGATGTATCCTCCAATTTTGGACATCTTTACTGATTGATCGGAAGGACTTGAACAGGACAAAGGGTTTGCAAAGGGTTGATAGTTTTTGGGTAGCGAGAATGAAAGCCTTCATCATCCCAATTGGAGAATATTAGTACTATATAGAGGATCCAACATAGTACCTTTTGACTGCATTTGCATTGACAGTTATTTCAGGGACATTTCTTTCGATGTGTCCCAAGTGCAACGCACTCTTTTGGCAGTACTCTTGTTGCAATGTACGAACCTTTCCAATCCGAGAACCAACTTTCCTTCAGTTGTTCCAACTCTTTGTTTTATTTCCTTAAACTTTATCTTCATTGCGATCTAATCCTTGATTCATTATTTCGAGGCCTAACAACTTTCAAGATCTGGGCATGAAGTCCGCAAGCATGTCATGTTATTGAAATCTGCATTTAACAGAACTAAAAAGAGAATAAGAAAGAAAAATGACAAGATTAAGAAAAGAGACATTCCTGGAAAATGAAATATTAATTTCATTTGATTTTTTGATTTTTGATTTTTTTTTCAATTTCTTGAAGATAGAAGGGTTTGCATCAGAAAGTACTACAATAAGGTAAAACATCCGGATCACACCCTGAGATAATCCGGATGCAGAAAGGATAGCAAGACTGGCCACTAAGACTCCCGTTTGATGGGGAACTTTCATGTTTGGCGACCATTTTTGGCTTTTCTTCTATCTCGGCAAAGGCTGTAACGGCCTTCGGTGTCGGATGAAATTCCTCAGCTTCACAAATCATTCTGACCATTGGCCTAATGTTGTGGGTAGGCAACATATTGTTCATCACATCAGAAGCTTCTTCATCCCGAAAAACGATTCTTTCAGTTTCAATCAAATCTTCAACTACCCTTTTGAGGGTCCAACGGTCCTCTGTACTGTGTCCCACTGCTCTAGAGTGGTATTCACATCTAGCATCAGCTCGGTGCGAGGGGGACTCGGGGTTCGGTCATTTCGGGGCCACTGCTGCAATAGATCTAGCCTTATTAGCTTTTGGAACAAGCTTGAATACGATTCACCAATAGGGGTGAACTGATTCTTTCTGAAAGGCTCTCTTAGGCGAGGATTGTATCGGAGATCATTTGGTTGGGGATTATATGGAGCTGGGTAAGGATGTGCATTTCTGGGAGGTGGAACTCGATTTTGTGTATAATGTTGTGGCCGCGTGTAAGCTTGCGCGTTCATCACTGCATACCAACAAAACCAAACACCTGAACAGAACCTGACTAATTTGCTCACACCACAACCTCGTTAGTTTTGAGACATTTAACACATAGGAAATCGCATGTTGGGGATGCAATGCACTTAATAGTTAAACATTTCTACCATGTGTTTGAACGGTTGCATGTTTCATCCCGGCCTTAACTATCCCTTTAAGTATGTACCTCTTTTCTTTTATATCTACCTCTATTTAATCACTCTTGATTTTTTCGTCTCTGTCGCTTTTTATTTTTTTGGCATTCTCCTTTTTTTTTGTCACTCTTTTATTTTTTTGTCACTCTCTTTTTTTCTTTTTTTTTATTTTAATTTATTTTTTCCTCAGTTAATTCTACAGTTATGATAGAATTCGATGGGGATTGCCTACGTATCATGACGCCACATGAATCAGATCATTACGTAGTTCAGAAAAAATTAGGAATAAAGTACACAAACTAACTCTCGTTTTTTACTCATATACAAATAACTCCACGAAAGCTCCTAACAAGGAAAATAATTTTGGATTTTTTTTTGGTAGAAAGAAAGGATTCAAAAGAAGAAAGATTTTTTTTTTAGATTTCAATTTTTTTTATTAAATTGTTGAAAGTGAGACTTCTAAAGAAGAGCGATTTTTTTTTGAAATTCGATTTTTTTTAATTTTGTTTTTGGAATTGTTGAAAGAAAGAATTAAAAAAAAGATTTGTTTTTCATTTTTAAAGTTTCTTTTTTTATTTGAATTTTTGTTTTGGAATTTTTTTGAAATAAACACTTCTAAAGAAGAAATAAAATATTTTTGAATTTTGAATATTTATTTTTTCAATTTCTGAAAGAAAAACTTCTGAAGCAGAAAAAAAAATATTTTGGAATTTTCGATTTTTTTTCTTTTTCATTTATTTATTTTTTGTGATTTTTGAAGAAAAAAATCTGATTTTGATTTTGTGGATAAAAGACTTATAAAAGAAAAAAGAAGAAAATATTTTTGAATTTTTTTTTGATTTTTTTAAAATTGGGGTCTCTAAGAAATTATTTTCTAAAGAAGGAAGTAAAGGGAAATATATCTGAATTTTTTTTTCAAAAATTGGGGGCCGGAACCGATGAGGTTTGCCTACGTATCTCGCGTTCGATGAGAATCAAACCCTCGTAGTTCGGTAAAACTGGGTATCTTTTTTTTTAATAATTCCGCTACACTAATTTTCTAAAGCCGGTCGACAAATGCAAGCAAGCCTTCCAAATGATGCAACAAGTAGCACATAAGTGAACATGATGGTCTCAAAAAGGATACCTGTCTTATACGGACTCGGCCCCTGTGCCGAGCTTCGCTAAGTCAAATGCATATGATGTAACAAAACGATCCTACTAGGGATAACCAGTCATGTGGCTTGTTCTTCTATATTTTAAAACTCCTAGGGGATGAGGCGTATCTAGACTGACCATAAAACGAGCGAACAACTCGAGTTGGGAAGGGGTAGCATACCGGGAGCAATACTTCTCCGGCTTAACTACTGGACCCTTCCTGTTCTTAAATATAGGTGACTAATAGTCCTTCACCGGGAGCCCAGGCCCACTGGCTTTATCTCAACATANTTCTCCGGCTTAACTACTGGACCCTTCCCGTTCTTAAATATGGGTGACTAATAATCCTTCACCGGGAGCCCAGGCCCACCGGCTTTATCTCAACAAAGAATGGGGCGCGTATCCGCGATTCCCGAGGTTGTACTCAGAAGACTCAAAGAGGGTCACAAGAAGACAATTTATAAAACAGTTCAACAATATCAAAGCGGTAAATAGCAAGCAAGTAGCACATTATGCCCAAATAGATCACAGTTATATACAAAAAATTAATAAAGCCAAATAAAGTCAATGTACAAGCTCGAATTCTTGATTACCTCCCCAGCAAAGTCGCCAGAGCTGTCACACCCCTTTTTACCCCTCCAAAAGATAATGTGGGTTATGGATTGTGGGTTAAAGAGTTTTTCCAATTAAAGTGACAATTTTGAAATAGGGATTATTTTATTTACAGAGTCATCACTTGGAATTGATTTTTACTGGTGTTCCAAGTCACCTTTTATTTGAATCTCTATTCAAAGGAAGATTTGACTCTATTATTATTGGTCTGCAAAAATAAAGTTCGGGTAAGGAATTCTGTTGACCGGGGAGAAGGTGTAAGACATTTCCTGAGTCCCGTGGTTCTAGCACGGTCGCTTTATTGACTACATTTGGCTTGAATTAAACTTGGATAAACGGTGATTTATTTGATTTTTATGCTTTTCTTATGTCCACTTTTACTTATTTGATAAAAAAATAATAATAATAAAATGTCATAATCACACTACGCTAACGAATGTGTAATCTAGACAAATTTTATTGGCTTAGTCATAACAGCACTACGCAAGCGAATCCACAGTCATGACAAAGAATTATTAACACGTTATTACTTTCAGAAAAATTACTATATTTGTGCATTGAAAAAATTATTTATTAAGAGTTACTATCGCGCTACGCAAGCGAATCCGCGAGTTTAGCAAAGAGTTTATTAAATTAGAAAATAATTAAAGCTAGTAGAAATAGTATGAGATTACTGAATTAAAATATTAAGAGTTAATATCACGCTACGCAAGCGAGTCCGTGAAATAATAATAATAAAAAGTCAAAACGGACCTACTGGTTGCCTAGCGTTTAAACTAATTAAAGGTACTTAAGTTATTAGATTATTATTACACATCATGAAAATTAACTAATTCTTAATAAGTCTATTCAACTAATCTAGTAAGTATTATTTTGAAGATAGATCATATTATTTATTGAGAAAGTGGGCCAATTTGCTTACTTAGTTATGGCATTGGGCCAACATCTATGAAGTAAATGGACTAAATATTTACAGACTTCTTAAAAGCATTGGGCCTATTGGACAGAATCTGCTTTGACCAATTATTGGGCTCTGAAATGGGCACAAACTGAAAGCCCAATAGATTTCAAATGCTGGCTTACTACGACAGCCTACCTGGGCTAAATTGTGAGTCTGGCCTCTTTTGCTCTAAGCCATTAACCCTTATTTTTAACTAGCAATTTCAAAACCTATTTAGGATCTAGCCACTTTCTACCAAAAAAAAAAACTAAAATCCTAGCAGAGATGCTCATATATAAAATCTGTAAAAATAAATAAAGGTTTCAAGCATGTCTCTTTTGTTATTTTTCATAAACTGGCCAGAACTGCAAAGGTGCAAAAGGAGTCTTTAAGCACATTGCAACCTACTTGGAACATCTCAATTTTATATGCATCAATGCTATAATAGATAGTAAATACAAATAACACATGAATAAAAAAGTGTTTGATCAACCAAGGATTTATTTTACATATGAACTACAACAAGATATATTTAAACAATAAAGAAATTTAGCTAAGCACTCATTTATTTAAATGGACATGCTCCCAACAATCAAGATGAGTTCTTCTTGTTAATGTGAAAACATCTGCAACATAAGATTAAAAAGTTACCTGAGTCGCAGAATAATAAATACAACAACAAAGAATGGAAGCTCAGCAACTAAAGCAGCATTAAAATAGCAGCACAACAGCAGCAAAACCAACAACAAATCCGTGTTAAAACAACTCGAAAACTCAGAAAAGAAACCCAGAAGCAAACTCTAAAGAGGACTTATACTTTTCTAAAAAAAGGTTTGCACTTTAAGATTCACTCTTAAGACTTACAATTTCAGCTTACTAAAGGATGCTTCAGCTGCTAATTTTTTTTGTTGTTGTATGTTCA